GGCAGAATTGCATGAGATATTCAATGAAATCATACAGGAGGACTTTCCAAACGTTGGGGTCATAAGGGCAAGCAAAATACAGGAAGGACAAAGAACTCCAAACAGATTCAACCCAAAAAGAACATCAACTAGACATGTCATTATCAAGCTCCCCTTAAACGAATATAAGGAAAGAATACTGAAACAAGCACAAAGAAAAGATCAAATAACATTTAGAGGAAAACCAATCAGAATTACTGCTGACTTCTCAGAAGAGACCCTTCAAGCAAGAAGAGAATTTAATAGCATTTTTTCAGATCAAAAAAAGAACAATTGTTAGTCAAGGACAATGTGCACAACAAATTTCTCAGTTGCATTTGAAAAATAAAATAAAGTATTTACACAGTAAAGAGAAGTTAAAAGAATATGCCAACACTAAGCCAGCTTTTGAACTGCTCCTTAGAAATGCTCTGAAGCCAGAAAGAAAGGAAGTAAATCATAATCAAACATGGCAAAGGGGAAGATCTTCTCATTAAAGCCCATAAAAAAAACAAAACTAAACAGACACCAACACACACACACACACACTGCGGGGCTAGATTAACAGAATGGGTCAAAAAGCAGGACCCAATGAATTGTTGTCTACAAGAGACACATCTAATCAACAAAGATGCAAAGGAATTGAAAGAGAAATGATGGAAAATTATATTTCATGCCAATGGAAATGAAAAAGGAGAGGGTGTAGTTGTTCTAATATCAGATGATAAAAACTTCACATTGAAAAACAGTAAAAGAGATAAAAATGAACACTATCTACTGATAAAGGGAGCCAACCACTGAGAAGAAATAACAATAATAAATATTTACATGCCAAACATAAGAGCAACTATCTATATGATACAATTATTGACAGACTTCAGGGGAAACATAGTTGACAATAAAATAATAGTGGAGGACCTTAAGCCCCATTAACACCAATAGATAGACAAATAAGACAGAAATTCAGCAAAGAAACAGAACTCACACAGACAATAGAACAATAAACTTAACAGATTATATACAGAACCTTCCATTCAAACATATAAACAATCTTCCATTCCTGGTCCATCCAGAATCCAACTGCCACTAGTGAAGAGGAAACAAACAATATTAGAGTGTTACTCATGCCAAAGTTGAAGAAAACAGCTTCGTTGAATTTCAAAATGAAAATCATTTCCTCTATGCTCATCAATATGAAACTCTGAGCTTCACCATCTCTCATGGGTCAAGAACTTTCTGGGACCTAAAGGCATGCAAGTCTTCTTGCTGTGTATGAGTAGCAGAGTTTAGAGGCTGACAAAGACTTCACACCGAAGATTACTGGGGAGGTCTAAAGTAGAAAAGATGAGCAGGAACTCAGCGTAGCAGTTAAGCCGCTATTTGGAACAAACTCATCTCACAGAGCACAGCACTGCTCCACATTCCTGCTTCTGGTTAATGCACATCTTGAAAGGGAATAGGTGATTGATAAAATATTCACAAAATCTGAAAACAGTAACAGAGTTCATAGCAACTGGCTTTTGCTTTGATAGAGCCCTGCATGTTGTAGGCATTTGAAGAGTTAACCAGCAGACAGAGGGACTCGCATGCTTTGTACCTCTAGCTGTCACTCCAGCTCTCTTCACCCTTCTTGTCCCTCTGCCCTTCAAACAAGCACAATAAAATCCTTTCTAAAAATATAACAAAAAGGCATATGTAGATAACTAAATGATTGGTCCTTATAATCAAACTGCTCTGTCTCAATAATTATGTGAAAATTATTTAATCCAGAAAGCATATGAACTAGTCCGTGTTATTCTCAACAGGATAATTCACAAAGGTGAATGCAACATTTATTGCCTCTGATGTCAGTTTCTACTTGCCTTTAATCTCTGCACCCTGTTCTTGCCCGTTGTCCCCTCCAGTAGTGCCTAAACATTAGTTCGAAAACATCTGTGAGTGCTGTGAAGAATGTTTTTGGTGCTGTGTATTCTGTAATATGGACATGTGAAATATATGGGCTGGACTCTGTGGCCCCAAGTTGTGTGAAACAGAAGGCAGAATGGCCATCCGTTGTTGTTTCTTCTTCTCCACCCCTGCAGCTCATTCAGAACTAATCCCAAGGCTCTCAGGCTGCCGTGAGACTGCCTGGGCTGCTTCTAAGCTCTGCTGCGCTATTGTCTTAAGCCGGGTCCCCTCTTATCACCACATGCCTTTGGAATCTGAATGCTTAGACAAGCCTACTCTGGGGGAATCCCAAGTGGTGATCTGACAGCACCCCTGTGCCACCCTTCAGACTGCAGTATCAATAAGGACCTCTGCTACCTCATACCCATGACTCTAAGGGGTTTTGTTTGTTTTTCTCCTTTGGACAATAAGAAAACTAACTAAGCCAAATTACTAGAGAACAAAGCAGTGTGTATTCTCAAACTGTGAACCAGGATAACAAATAGTTTGTTTAGCCCATTGAATAAACACTGACCAATAGCTGCAGTTCATTTACATATTAGAATTCATGGGGTGACATTTTAGCTTACAATAGTACAAAATATCATCACCACAAATATAGAAGATGTTAAGACATGACCATGACTGGGAGCCCTAGAGGTGAGGGTTGTAAAGCAAAAGTCATACATTTTTAGTTGCAAAGCCTTGCATAAGTTCGGAGACATTTTACTGCTGAATTTCCTGGTGTCTAAAGAGGCAGAGGATCAATTGTGGCACAGGGCTTCAAATGCCATCAGCAGGACTTAACAGTCCAAGGTGGCAATCAAATCTTAAATTCATAATTTAAAATAATCATAGGGCTACCAAAGGAACACTCCTTAACCAACACACTTATAAAAGGAACATGTTATGACAGAGAGTTCAAGTGAGTCCAACTCTGAGAGAACTGACATACAAAACACAAAACTTAGTAAGTGCATAATGGAGAAAAGCTTGCTGGGTTGGTAATAGAAAAACTCCAACATTCTCAAATGATGAGCAAGCTTTAAAAAGTTAACTAAAAAATATTGTGCATTCTAATGTCTGATCATTGGTTATCATCAATTATATGTTGTTCTTCCTATATAAAAATCATTTTTATATTTTATTTCCCAACCTTAATTACTTCAATTTCTAGGATAGTTAGCTTTTGGGTTTTTATAAATATATTATTACGTAAGATATTTAAACATTACTTTCTTCTTCTACCCACACCCACACATACACATGCACACATAACACAGGCTCCTCTGATTTTTGCCACCTGAACCCCTATCCAGTGTCCTTATTAAATCTGTGTTTCTGCTGCCTTCCATCAATAATTCTTTCTAGTTGTAGTATCTTTTATTTTATGCTTGATGTATTGCACTAGCCAGGGCTTATAATAATAAATATAAGCTTTCTTGCTTTTATGCTTACTTTTGAGGGGATGTTTTACAAGCTTTTATTCAGAAGATTATAGATTATATATGTAACTTAATAGACTTACACTAATATTTTCAAATTTCCAATCCTGTCATTTTTATTAATATATGTGTTCTCGGTAAAAACACACTACAAATAATTTTTTCAAAATTAGTAGCTCAATGTTCCTGATATACTCTCACTGTCTTTAATATCTGTTAATTAGCCACATCCTTAAAAAAATTTCTAATCTGGGTTACTTGTGCCTTCTTGGTAATTAAGTATAAACTTACAGTCGATTTTCTGACTTGAACAGCTATCATAAATATGCAGACATTTTGATTTTAAGATATAAATTTAAGTTTTTAGCTACCCTCCAAGGCATTTATTCTAACAAGCAAAATTCAGTAATAAAAATGAGGATGCATTCTAAAACACAGAAAAATTTATTCTTAGAAAACCAGTAAGTCAAATATTTGAAAATCTAATGCAAATAATCATATTAAGAGAATGAAGGGGAGAGAGAATGTAACCTCTTTAAAGATGCAGAAAACTACCCAACAAAATTTAGTAGACACTCACAAATACTCTTAGCAAAATGTCAATATGAAAGCTGTTAATTCTTAGTCTAATAAAATTTTTAAAAAACTTCTCACCCACCAGAGAGTTGCAATGTAGCACTTGGGGGCAGCACGGCGGAGACTGTGCTGTGAGAGGCACGGATGCTGACACAATGCAGCATCGCTCTCGATGAAAGAGAGAGGAGGACAAAGGACCACCGAGCCTGAGCCAGGCAGTGAACACAAAGGCCGGGTCATGCAAGGGCCAGGGCTGTAGCACTGGGCGGGAGCACATAGAACCACACAAAGGACACCCTCTGCCTGTCACTGACTCAGCCCCCTGCTAGTGCCCTGTCGCAGAAAAGCCTCTTCATTCAGTGCTTCCAGAAAATAGGGAGCCATAGCAATGAGGTTTGGTGAGAGGACAAAGAGAACAAAGAGACAGCCAAGGTGGTGGTGGTGGGGGCTGTCCCCACAATAGACACACTATGGCGTGAGCAGAGATAGAATCTACAAAATGCGTGTTTGAGAGGGTTCGGAATACAGGATTCACTTTTCAGCATCTGGGATGCCGGCAAGGATGACGAGTTTGTCCGATCACACAGGTGTGAAGAAAGCATCCAACATGCATGACAGAAACATAAAGAGAATAAATTAAAACGTTGTCTTCCAGAGAAGCCTCTGTAGGGTGTGGGGGGATGCTTAGGGACAGCCAGCCTGAAGGAGCTGAGCACCCCCAGAGGCCAGGGGAGGGGGAACTCAGCACGCCTTCGTGTGTGTGTGAACAAAAGAACTGTCAGGTTAGACATCCGCCATTGAGACCTACATGGCACTACCGGTCCTCCCGCAGGAAGTGTCCGCCATGCCGCCTGCTAGTGGAAGGAAGTAGGAACACACAGTCACAGGGAATGGAGAGCCAGGGGGAAGGAAAAAAAGGGTGCACTTGCCTCCGAAAAGCAGCCTAGGTGACCATCTCGAGGTCCGGGGCTCAGACCAAAAAGGCAGAAGCACCAGGGAAGTTCCGGAATCGTTTTCTGGGGAGCAGAAGTTGCCATGGAAGAGCCTGCAGCTCCCTCTGAGGCCCCCGAGGCACTGGGGGCCCAGGCAGGTGCTGGGGCAGCACGGGAGGGTGTCCCTGGACCCAGCCTCCCGGAGGGTGAGAGCTCCGGGAGGTCAGCGGCTCCGGACTCGGCTTCTGCCCATGCGGGTTTGGGTCTCCAGCCGCTCCGCGTGGCCCCCAGCCCGGCCCACCTGCGCACGGTGGGCCTGAGGCACGTGCAGGCCGCCAGGGCAGGAGCCAGGCTTAGCCAGGTGCCCAGCCGCAGCACCGGCAGCTGGACAAAGCAAGTTGCCTGCAGGTACTATCTACATGGGCTGTGCAAAGAGGGGGAGAACTGTCGCTACTTGCATGATCTGGCTGGTCAGCAGGGTTCTGTAGACCCCCAGGTCCAGACCCAGCCAGCAGCTGATACCCCTGCTGCTGCAGCCCCCAGCTCCCCTCCTGCTGTTGGCTCTGCTGCTGCCGCTGCCGAAGGAGGGTGCCTGGGAACTGCGACAGCCAGTGCAGGCCAAGGGGCTATCGGAGGAGCAGGGTTAGAAGGCTGGGAAGATGCTGTGGAGTTTATTCCTGGGCAGCCCTATCGGGGCCGCGGGGTGGCTTCCATTCCTGAAGCTCCTCCCCAGGGCTCAGAGGTGGCCGAGAGGGAGCAGGTGGCTGTGGGCATGGGGGTTCAACTTTGCCCTCACGCTGCCAGGGGAGAATGCTTCCGTGGGGAGAGCTGTATGTATCTGCATGGAGAGATATGCGACATGTGTGGGCTCCAGGCCTTGCACCCCATGGATGCTGCGCAGAGGGCAGATCATAGGAAGGCCTGCATGGAGGCACATGAGAAAGATATGGAGCTGTCGTTTGCGGTGCAACGCAGCATGGATAAGGTGTGCGGCATCTGCATGGAGGTGGTGTACGACAAGGCCAACCCCAGCGACCGCCGCTTTGGCATCCTGTCCAACTGTAACCACCCCTACTGTCTCAAGTGTATCCGTAGGTGGCGACGCGCCAGACACTTTGAGAATAGGATCGTCAAGTCCTGCCCGCAGTGCAGGGTCACCTCCAACTTCGTCATTCCCAGTGAGTTCTGGGTGGAGGAAGAGGAAGAGAAGGAGAAACTCATTCAGCAGTACAAGGAGGCTCTGAGCAACAAGCCCTGTCGGCATTTTGCGGAAGGCAGAGGCCACTGCCCCTTTGGAGAACACTGCTTTTATAAGCACTCGTCCCCTGAGCGCCGGGGAGAGGAGCCTCCTGGGCAGGGCGGGGGCCCATCCCTCACCTACTGGCATCAACTTTGGCAGCCCATGCGGATGCGGGAGGGCAGCGGGCTCTTGAAGAGCAGTAAGAAGGAGCTGGTCGTACTGCGGCTGGCCAGTCTGTTGTTTAAGCAGTTTCTGTCTCTGAGAAATGAGCTCCCCTTCTCTGAGGAGCAGTGGGATCTGCTTCATTATCAGCTGGAGGAATATTTCAACCTGAATCTGTAGCGCTCCGCGGCGCACTGGGATCCAGTCAGCTGAAGCTGCCTTCCTCTCATCAACACGCCTGTCACTTTGAGGGGCTGCTGTGGCACTTGCTGTGAACTGTTCCTCAGTGTTCTTGTCTGTGTTCTGTTTCTTACCCCCTCGTGTAATGGTGTTTATGTGTTTAAAAAACAAATGGTAACGAACGCTTACAGTTGGTGCTTGGTGGAGTGTATGTGACTGCTGCTTTGTGGGGTTTTTGTCCTATTTGTTTTCCTTCAGTTTTAATCTAGTATTGAGAGAATTTCTTCGCTCACTTTGAAGTCCCTCAAAAATAAATGTGGCAGGGTAAAAGGGGAAGTCTTAAACTACAAGCTTTCTGCTCTGGTAGCCTTAAGGAACGGGCAGGCATTGGGACTTGCTTGTCTGTGTTTACATCTCTGTTCCTCCCTGTGATGTCTTCAAGTACACTTGTTAACTTGTGGTTGTTTTGTGAGTTCCTGTTTGACTTGAACAAAATCTGGTGCTTATGTTTACATGTTTTTATCCTGTTCAACTTGATGTGAGAGTATTTCGTTTATATTTGGAAGCATATATTTAAAAGTGATATATATGCATAAATGTGTATATGAGCTGTCTTTGCAAGTTCTATATGGAATATACACCCTGATATGTATGTCTGTAATAAAATAAATGGCGATGAACACAAAGGACAAGGGCCACCAGGACTGGCCAATGAAGACTGCTTCAAGTGGTTTGGGGCAAGGATAACAGAAACAGATCTTGAAGGAGTTGGTAAACAGTGTCGCTGATTCCTGTGGCCTCACTTGTGCTCATATAAATGGAGAAATGTACTCTTCAGCTGTCATCTCACTTGTTGTAGCATCAAGTCCTGGTTTTCAGACATGCAGCTGTTTGCCTTTTTTTTTTTTTTAATATCATCTGTGTAGTTTTCCAGATGGGTCACTTGTGATAAAATTTATGAGAACATAAAACAATAACAGAAGTGTAACAGAGAATATAGAGTAAAATAAAAAATAGACAAAAGATTGGAAAGATTAAAAATCAAATCTTGTAAAAGCAAAACTAAATGCAGAAAATTTATAATACACTTTATAATTAAATTAGATGCAAGTAGTACACACAGTCCAACATTATCAGACTTGATTAAAATTGATCTCTGTTTAAAGTAAGCAGTGTAAAAATACAAAACCATTAAAAGTAATAGAATGGGGGGAATAACAGAAATGTTACAACTTTTACCTTGAGTGCCTGGAGACAGATACTATGTATGCTGGAGAGAAAGAAATTATACATATGTATTAAGTTGGACTTCATCAGGAGTAAAGGATGATTCAAATTGTTTATTCAGTGATATTGCACCGGACACATAATTGAGAAAGCTAAGCAACCCAACATTTAAAGAGAATGGAGCCGACCTAAGAGGTTCTGAGGGCACTTGTACTGACCTGCTGGCTCTACCCCCACATACATGACCTGAAGCAGGTGCTGGAAGTGCGCTGTGACCTCAACATGGGTGACCGAGCCAGGGCAGTCAGGGATGTACACAGGTGACATCACACCAGGAGAGCCTGGAGAGCTTATCCACTGGCCGTTACCAGATTCCGCATTTCTCAGTCCATTACTCAGAATGTACCTCAGTTGTCCATGTTTTTGAGGTCTTTCCTCTTGTGGCATGATTCTTGGCTTCCCTTCAGTAAATATTTCAGCCTGATTCACTAACCTTGACTCCTTTTATTCAAAGAATCCCCTAATGAAAACATCTTGACTGCCTGCCTGTTTCCCCATAGATGCAAGTGGACAAGATTTCAAATGACCAAAGAATGGGACCGGATGGGGGCATTTTCATATTGTTGAATTCACATTCACTCTGGGAGGGAAATGGTAATGTTTGATCAACACAGTTTGTACAAATGTGATGAAATATCACACTATATCCCATAAAATACATATAGTAAATGCATGTGAATGAAATAGTGTAAAATACTTGTAGAAGGTAAAAGACAAATTGGACTCTATCAGCTGAGTTTTAGTGTTGAGTGAGCTATCTAGGAGGTAATTTTAAAACAGCCTGGATGACTTTGGAAATTTTTCCCTAATATATACTGCCCCACACTGTAAAATCTATCTTTATACAAACAGTATCTTGTGCCAGGGAGTAGTAGTAAACTTCGGGAGATACAGTGTGGTAAGGGTTAGCAAAATAGGAAGCCTGGGAGATAAACAAGGGATAAATATGTGTCCTGGCTCTACTTGTAAATAGCAATAAGTGTGAGTGGGTTAATTGAGTGTTCTGTACCTCAGTTTTATCATATGAGAAATGGGTACAATGCCACTTTATTTTGCTGGATTTTTGTGACATCAAAAATGGTTGGATCAAAGATCTTGAAATATGGAATTGTTTTTAAAGTGGCATATATGAAAGTGACACATTTATATGTGAACCTAAGAAGTGATTAGGCCAGAACTAAGACTACCTAGCTTTTGCTTTGGAGGAATAACTGGAATGTGTGTAGAGGTATCCTTATTTTGTGATTATTTATATATGCAAGAGGAACAATGACATCACCCTCATAATATTTTTTAGAAGTGCAATTTTTTTTTTCGGGAAAAATTAGTTAAAATTTAAAGTGTTCTATCAGTTAATTAATATTATAGAAAACCAAAAAAAGAAATATGTCTTATTTGTGGCAGATACCCAGATGGGGCAAATAAAAATAAGGGGGTTTCTCCTTCCGTCATTAGCTGGTTTAAAAAGAGATCAGATTTAACAACAAAAAGAATTCAGCGCAGGCAGAGAGTCTGCCTCTGCTTTCTCAGGAAGGCACCAGGCTGGAGCTGCCGTGGTCGCAAACAAAGGAGCCTCGCCATACAAAGGTTTGCTCTGAAAGTGATTCACAGTGCAAGCAGATTCCTGCGCCAGGAGGACCCACAGCCCCAGAGGACCCGCAGCCCCAGGGTCCACTCATGCTGTGTGACTTCAGCTTCCACAAATGAGGCCGTGCAAATCTGATTTATTTGTACTTAATGAATGCAAATGTATTGGTTATACATACAGACTTGTGCTAAAGGAAATATATCTAGTACTCCCTTCTTCAAACAAGTGGAAATCCCTTGTCTTACAGCTTACAGGTCATTAAGTCCATTGACTGAATTTCACTGGCTTAAAGCAAAAATATCTGCAGGCCACAATCGATGTCCATATGCTCTTTGATTCTTTGCTTTTGTGACTCTTTTGAGGGTGTAGTTCCTATTTTCACAGCTGATGCTAAACTATAAGTTAGATGTGGATTTAAGCTGGGAGAGGGCTTGGCCAAAATGATATTGGGGAAGTAATCCAGCAACAGTGCATAAAGGTAAATTTAGACGTGTCAGAAACCTTGCCATGGCAATTATAAATATAACGCCATGGTTGTCAGTACTGATAGAGCTTTTACAAAAAAGTAATTGTGTAACACATTATGGTGAGATTGTCAGTTAAATTGAGAAAGCAGAAGAAGTAAAGGCATGCTGTGATGGTAATACAAGAACCTGCATTCTTTTTATAAGCCTCAATAACTAATGTGAGTTAATACTAAATAATTTAGTGAGAATATGATACTGAAAAGTTACATCCTACAAGATAGCATTTTTTTACTCATAAAAATTCTCAAGTTTCAATATTAATATACTACTACAGTGTCTAGATATGTAGATAGCATACTTAAATATCCAAATCTAAAATCTAAAAGCAATCACAACCTGAGAACACACACTCTGCTGCACTCACATATAGCTAAAATAAATGGAAGAAGTTAAAAATTAAAAGTTAATGGGTCAGAAAATAGAAATATAAAGCCTTATTCTTTTGGGAAAAATACAAATCACGAGCAGTCAAAAATAAGGGAGGCAATTCAGTTAAAACAGAAAATAATAAATAGGAAACAGTCCAATATTTTAAAACTAAAAGCCACTGGGCTGGTGTTTGGATTATTTATCAAGATGTACTTGGGACCCGCCTGTGTCCCACATTGGACTGTTGGGTTCAGGTGCCAGCTCTGATGACTGTTCTAGCTTTCTGCTAACGTGCATCGTAGGAAGTAGCGAGTGTGGCTCAAGGAGGTTTGCAGAGTGAAACAGCACATGGGCAATCTTTCTTCCCTTCCCCACTTCTGTCTCTACCAGTATCCGTCTTCTCCCTCACATATATACAGACACAAAGATGAATAAGAAAATCCTTACATTTGTTTTCTACCTGAGAAAGATAAACTTGAAAATGTGGAAGTGAATTAAATTCTTAGGAAATACAGATGGAGGCCATCCTAGCCACACAGCGTAACTCTGCACCTACAGAATTAACACAGTGTGGTCGTCTCCAAGGCACACCGCCTACATCCCCAAAAGCAGCAGCCTGACCTTCACAGGAGTGCACCTGCGCAGTTGCCACCGTGGCTAAGGACTTTGTTTCCAGGATGCCCACGAGTGGTGTTGGACACTGAATGCTGACATCCTGCTGGATGCCTGTCTCGGGAAGATCCATCTCGGGATCTGTGATTGAGTGTTTTCTAGATCTTTCCATCATCATGATGACTAGCAACTGACTACCTTGAAGCCATTATGATTTTTTTTTGCCAAGGTCATTTGTGATGTTTTCATCCTTCGCTCCTATTGAAAATAGTCTCTTTTGATTCTTCCCATGACTAGGCTGAACATTTTCAAAGTATTTGTTTCTGCTTTCTGTTTAACTTTTGTATTTAAATGATTTTCACTCATTTTATTACAAGAGCCAAAAAAGAACACATGACACCTTTAATGCAGATTTAGATCTGCAGTAATTCATAAGCATAGGCTTGGATAAAACACGCATGCACACACACACACACACACACACACACACACACACACTATACCAGACCCAAGTTCTTTGTGAAAACATTTGCCAAACATGTAAGGAACTCAAGAAAAATACATAAAGCATAGAGAAAAATTAAAGGACTAAATATAAAGCCTGTGCCTGAGAAATA